AGTTAAAATAATAAGATACTAAGTCAACACGTTGAGAAAGTTTCACATTACAATAACTTACATAATCTCCGTCACAAGGTTACAGTTAATTCACCCAATGTGGCCACCAGAGGGCGCAACACGCTCATCCAAACTCCTACAATCCCCGCAGCACCTGAACGCACCGTGACAAAGAAGCGAAACCGATACATCGCTGTAGTCTCTCCCCCTTTCTCCCCCTCTCTCTCTCTCTCTCTCCCCCAACAACCAAACTCAGAAGTTACTGGAGCCCGCTGGCAGCTCCTTCAACCTTACATAAACCCCGCACAGGCACAGGAGACCCGCGTGGTTCCGAGCAACCAGAAAGTCCACAGAGGGATGTCCGAACCGACAACGTAACACCAACACACCGGGGCTCGTTTTAGGGACAAGTCGGTTCGTGTTTTTCCGAAGAGGAGGACTTCCTTTGCTTCCTTTGCTGCGTCGCTTTTCTCTGTTTGAACCAGCGGAGCCGGTAAGTGAGGGTTAGCTTAGCTTAGCTTAGCGTAGCCTAGCCGCGCCATTTGAATTCCCGTTTGAGTTAGCATTAGTTAGCCGGCGAGCTAACGTAGCAGCTGAGGCGGCGAAAAAGGAGAAGGAAGGAAGGAAGTGTGCATCGTTAGTTAAAAGAAAGAAAGAGGGGGGATATAAGTCTCAGGTGAGTCTCCTTCTGGAGATAACTTTAAAGAGTTCGTGTCGACACACTTTAAATAAAACATACTGAGCTTTTAGCAGCTATTAGCAGCTAGGTTCCGAGCTAATAACACACATATATATTTATAAATAAGCTCCTTTATGTTGGAGGAGCTGCTGTGTCGGTTCGGTTGGTGATTAACTAAACTAGGGTTTAGTTTATTAAGTGCTGTAGGACTTTATTGGACATTAAGTTTCTGTTTTCTGCTGATAACTGCGACCTAGCTAAAACTAATAGTTTAATAAAACATCCTTTTATTCAATTCTGCCTTTATTCATTTAATGTTTGTTTGAACTGTGTGAGAGAGGCTTTGGTTCAACCACCTCGTTTAAGTTTTATTATGGGGATAAACGAGAACCACCTCTCTGTGACGCAGAATAAAACATCTCCATAAAGTTGAAGCGCACATTAACACCTTTACAGCGGGGTTACCTGACAAACCACCTGGATCCACAGCGTCTAGTGGTTGCTGCTTGGTTCATTACGAGTCCAGGTTTGTGTCGTTATTTACAGCGTTTATCCCGCGGTTTAAACGGAGACAGAGCAGTGGGTAGTTCAGGTACAATGGACATTTCCTTGTTAGTAACATGACAGTGAATGCACCTCCATAAAGCAGTGTATTATTATTATTATTACACAGGTTTGGATGCTGTGCAGTGTGGCCTGAAAATACTTTTTTTTAGCCGAGTTGTGATTTATTAAAAGCTATTTCTGTGGCTTTTATTGCCTTTAGGTGATAGTGACAGGAAAAAACCTTTAAAAACAACCTACAGAAGACACCATATCTCTGACAACACCTTCCCTTCTCTCTTCTGCTTCTCATATGGGATACCGATTGTGTAGATGAGTAGATTGGGGCTTAGTAGTTGTATATCCCCAGATTATAACACTTATAGTTAGAATATTCAAAAGCTAAAAAGCACCTTATATTTTTATTTTTACTTGCACTACAATTATACAGCTTATTTATACATTTTTATATATATATGTCTAGGTTGTTCTCCTTACTTATTGTATTGTTACTGTTACTGTGTGTAATGCTGCTGCTACACTGTATTTCCCAGCTTGGGATCAATAAAGTCTATCTGTCTATACCATAATAATACCAGCCCCAAGTAACCAAGTGTCTCATCTTTCCAGATAATCGTTAAAAAGAAGAAGATGCCTCAGAAACAGAAGTCCAAGTCCTGGGTGGACCTGAAACAAGCTGGAAATGAAAGTTTCAAGACGGGCCAGTACGGAGAGGCCACCAACATGTACAGCCAGGCAATCAAAGAGCTGGAGAAGGGTGAGTGTTACTTAAATATTACTAATGTCTGAATGCTGATTTCAAGTGATTTATTGACAGAGATAATGTTTGGATCCCGGTCTGGTCGTTTTCAGGTCACGCTGTTTTAAAAAAGGTTACCACACCAATATACATATAAAACTGATAAGGTTTAGGCTTTGTGCATACACACCCAAGCAAACATTCACTCCAACATTAATGAAAATTCATCCAGGAGGAATATTAGAGCAATTACAAAGCCCCACACACGTCCACTGTATTTCTCTCTCCGTTCTCTTGATGCATTCACTAAGTGGACATAGCTGACTGGTTTTTGACTGAGACTGCATTACCAGTCTGATGAAAAGCTGCTCTTTGAACCGTCTTCTTTCCTGTTTGAAGGTAAAAAGAACCCGGAGGATTTGGGCATTTTGTACTCGAACCGTGCAGCAAGCTACCTGAAAGATGGCAACTGTGCAGAATGTGTGAAAGACTGCAATATGTGAGTGGTTTTCTTTCCATCTTACTTCCTTTTGAATCATTTCTCTGCAGTTGTGTCGCTGTATGTTTGGTTTCCACATCTCTCTCATCTGTCAGGGTTTTTATTCTTTTATGCTCTAATGCAGCTCAGACTTCCTAGAAACTGTGTATTGGCAAGAATCGGCTGCTACCATACATATCACATTACAGGGCTTTACGATTCAGTATACTGTGGTACTGTAAGGTGATATGTTGCAGTTTAATGAACAAATGAACTCATCACCATTTCCATCAAATCTGACTTTTTCTATCCGATCAGAACAGAGAGATAAGTGTGTATTTATCACGTTTCTTATGGCAGAAACACACACGGACATGAGAGAGCAAACCCAAACTTTACCCACACTTTTAGACCGTGTGGTGAGGCGCAGCTTAAAGGCCGAGTCCTTACTGCATCAGCCTGTTGTTCCACTTAATTTTGCACCCTGATGAGAGATCAAGCCCACATCTGGATGAGAATGTGAACCAAATGTCAAACTTCCTAACTGGACATATTTCCTCTCAGGTCTCTGGAGTTGTTCCCGTTCAATGTCAAGTCTCTGCTGCGCCGCGCTGCTGCCTACGAAGCTCTGGAGCGGTACAGGCTGGCCTACGTAGACTACAAGACTGCTCTGCAGATCGACTGCAACATCGCAGCTGCTCACGACGGCACCAACAGGTACCTGCGCCTCTAACTCTGACACAGTTCACAATCACACAGAGCGTTAAGAGGTGCTCTGCTTTTCATCTAGCTTGTAAAACTGTGTGGCTGAGTTAGAAGAACTGGTTTCATTCATTTACTTTAAACTAATTCAGTTTATTGAGCTGTAATGTGAAGTATTGAGTCTTATTCACAACCTGCACCAGAACATCTGTGTTTCTGCTTATCTCTATCAACCTAAATGTTCTTGGAGCGGACTAGAAACAGTTTTGACGCAGCATTAATCATCCTTCAAACTGTACTTTCTGATAGTGAAGGCACACAGGACACACATGGTGTGTGTGATATACTGCTGTGTGTGTTCTGTGTTTTGTCCTGTTTGTTCAGTGCTGTTCTGTCACCTGCTAGGGGACTGCAGATGAAATTAGTCTAACTCATATTGTACTTGGTCCCATACAGATAAACTTCAATGGAAAAAAGGGATCATGTGTCTTTTCCAGGTGTCTTTCACTGCACTTAAAGGACTAAACCGGCTGTTTGGGTGACCCTTTGACATTCTTTTCACTGTGTATTTTATTGTTTCTCAGGATGACGAAGGCGCTCACAGAGGCAGACGGTTTGTCATGGAGAGAAAAGCTTCCTCCCATTCCCACCGTTCCTCTGTCTGTTAGAGAGAAACTCTCCCAGAAAACTCCAGCCAGCGCTGTACAACAACCGAACCCCACACCGCAACACAACGGCAGCACACAGACAAACAAACCCGGTAATTTAGATTCTAGTGCTCTGAGAGATCGTGTCATTTATGATTACTAACCATCAGATTTTCCCTGATAATCCAGTTTCATCTGTGCATGTAGTCAGAATCAGAGATAGATAGATAGATACTTTATTTATCCAGAGGGAAATTCGCAACTTCAGAATTTTGAAAAGGCAAATTTACATCTGAATCTGCCTCTTTGACCTTTTTTACTTCTTCCCTGTCTTCCCCATCACATTCTTCTCTTCTGTTTCTCCTCTCATCAGCTCCTAGTGATAAAGACATGAAGAAGGGCCAGATCCTGAAGGAAGAAGGGAACGCCCTGGTGAAGAAAGGAGAGCACAAGAAGGCCATAGAGAAGTACAGCCAGAGCATCAAACACAACCCCACTGAGGTCACAACCTACACCAACCGGTGGGTCGGAGCTTCACACATACATTTCCCCATGAGACTCACTACTGTCAGACTTCTTATGTGTGTGTGTGTGTGTGTGTGTGTGATCAGGGCGCTGTGTTACCTGTCAGTGAAGCAGTACAAAGACGCTGTCAGAGACTGTGACGAGGCTCTGATGATTGACAGCAGCAACATCAAGGCGTTCTACAGGAGGGCTCAGGCTCACAAGGAGCTCAAGGTGAGAGCCTGAATCTTCATCACCCCACACAGTAATCAGACGTTGACTTTCCAAAGCGTCTGGAGGTTTTCAGGGCAGGAGACAAAATAAAAGCATTTCCTGCCTTGATAATGGCGGATGTTTCCCCTGGCAGCAGCTCCTCATTAATATTCCACACACACACAGAGGACACGGTTAGCTCGGCAGCTCCGTACAGTGCAACTGTCCACTGTGTGCGCAGGTTTCAGTTGTGTGAGAGACGAGAGAAAAAGAGAGAGAAAGAGTCACGACTAGTTCAGGATCTTAGTCAATAGGCACAGATAGCCAAACTGCTATGTTCCAGTTGCTTCACTGTATGGTCGTGTTGGAGGTTGTGGACACATAGTTGCTGTTTGATCACACGTTCACACTGCGTTCATTTCTAAGGACGTGCACAACCAAAAGTCTGACGCAGTCCCATCACGCGTGTGAAAACGTGTCGTCTAAAGCAAATCATTTCCTGTCCACCAGCTCTGCCTACTAACGGACATGTTGAGACTCGATTGCAATTATTTATCGATGGAGACAAATGAAGACACAGATCACAAGTTTGTTCTGATGGTAATATATTTTGGAACATTTGTCTGGACCAGAGATTTGTTCAGTCCAGTTTTGGTGTCTGGGATGAAAACTGTGCTGTACTAGAATCAGCATTTTTCATGCTTTTTACTTTCTTCTGAGAATAAAACCTAAACCTCGACCCTGATGCACCTGTTTGCTGAGTAACATCATGCCACCAGAGAGCTTTAGTTCAGGAGAATCTCTACGCCTTCTTCATTGTCTACCATGGTTAAAGTTACTGTTGGCTCTCCTCATCCTTGTTTACTTTGTAACTCTTCATTCTCATTGCTTTCCTGCAGGACATCAAAGCCTGTGTGGACGACCTCAACAATCTGCTCAAAGTGGAACCAAAGAACGTGGCTGCCCTGAAGCTGCTGCAGGAGGTACAGAAGAAGAAGTGAGGACACATCAGGGACTCTGGAGACAGCGGTGAGGATCTGTCGCTTGACTGCGAACGGAGAGGAGAGGAAGAGCAATCATTGATGTCAGGCGAGCAGTGACACGATTCAGCCGCTTTAATTCAAAGACCGGCTCTGTTTCCCAAAAGCTCGCTCACACCCAACACATGTTTGATCCGTTTACTCTCACTGGAACAAACATGAGCTCGGTCTCGAGGCGCTTCTGGAAAACGCAGCTCTGGTCGGTGAGAACTGAGGATGTATCAGGAAGAATGTTTGTATTTCACCAGTTTTAGTGTCACTGAGTGTTTCTGGTTATTTAAAAGAGCTGAAATGAATGACACACACACAGATTCTAAGTGAGGGTCAGCTTTTACCATCACCAGTTGTAAAAGGGTAATCAGCCATCACGTGGAGCGCAAACTCACTGACGTTAGTATGTATGACAAAATGATCTCAACACAAGGTCTCTTACTCGCCTTTTATGGGCTCCCATCCGTCCATGGACGACCACCAGTTGTCACATGACAGTTTCACACTTTCACTTGTATTCTCTGAATGAGTTTGAGGCATCAAAATGTTCTGACATCAGACAGCAGAGAAATCAGTCTGTTCAGGTTGGATGAAGCCATTATATCATATATGTTCTGTATCATTTTCAATAAATCAATGAACCTGATATATCTGAGGCTATCTACCACAGTACACAGTCTCTATCAGTCTATCATACCATCATGTTCTCACTGCAGTGCTCCTCATTAGAGCTGCAGAGTATTACCTTCATTATCGAGGCCAGGCTTTGATTCGCTTCAATCACTGAGGCGTTTACTTCCTTTTGCACAAAACTCGCTCAGCAAAGACGAGAAATAAAAGTGAGGTCATCGAATAACATCAATCATTTGATGCTGTCGTGCTCGTGGTTTACCTAAAATGAACTGAACGACTGAACTGTAGGCCATCCAACGGCTCGAGCAGGTGGGTTTATACATCCAAAGAATTTCTATAAATCCAGAGCAGACGTCTGAGACCTCCGTCCATCTGATGAAACCAGGCGAGTAGAGTAACCTGCTTTTAATTGAAGTTTGACAGTATTTGACTGTTTATTTTCTTGATTAACTTATTGTTTGTCCTATAAAATATTCAGAACAATATCCTAGAAACTTCAAACAGTTTCAGATTTCATTCACAAGATGTCAGTTTTATTATGACGTAACACAGAGGGCTGGAGGTTTCTGCTTTAAAATGACAACTGATGAGAGTAGTTGCCGGTGATTGTGAAACGTCTCGTCATTGTAGCTCCACCCACAAACGTAAAGCCTATAACGAAGCCCACTTCCTGTCTGAACACTGGTGATTGTAAAGGCTCATTGTGGATTGGAGTTCTAAGTTAACAGCCATTTTCCACATAATGTTCTACACTCAGGTAGTTTTATTTATCCTACATTTGGTTTTCTGAGGCTTTGAGTGTGTGTGTGTCTTTCTCAGTGGATTGATATTTCCATTCATGCAGTGTTCACGTCATATGGGATAAATGGCAGATTATCATCAAAGATTCAGTATATAATCAGTAATAAAGCACGGTGTGGATGAAGTTTGGGTTTAACGTCAGACTGCACTGACGACTGGGCTCTTGGTGTGAACCCTGTTTATTTAAACTGCTAGCGGCGATAACTCCGATATGACGTGAATATTTTGCTTCGACCACAAACGTACAGTATATGAGGTTTGTTCACCGCAGCGCCGTCCAATAATCCAGAACCTGTTCGATACACGATGTGTTCTTACCTTCCTTCCTGCCTCAATCCAGATGTCTGATACACATCTGTGTCAGTGTGTCACTCTACTGAGATTTATGTTTGTTTCCTTTGCATTTGAATGACTAATACGTCAAACCAATCCTCAACGGGTCACTATATACAAAGTACTGTCTCTTTTTTCCATTTCATCGTATTATTGTGAAAGTGAGATCGGTGATCCTGCTGTAGTTTGGCAATCTCCATCTTGCCTGAAGTGCCTGTCTTCATCCTCTGTCTGCTTTTGGATTAGTTTCTGCAGCAACAACAACGTAAAACATCAGTTTCTGGTTTAAGACGAACAAGAAAATCACACCTCCAGTTACGTGTCATGCAAGAAGAGTTTGTGAAATACGTTTACACTTATTTATGTTTGCATAGTAAAGCCGAGAAGCTGCACGCTGCGATCATATCCCGACACAGCTGAGATTCTTCGCTTTATCACATTTGTGCTGTTTTTGTCAACCTGCTTCTGTTTTAACTGCAAATAAAAGAGATTAACAATGTTGTTTCTTTTTCTTCATGTTCATTTTGGGAAATTGGGAAACACTTATTCTCTTGCTGGCTGTGAGACAGAAGAGAAGACTGATACCGACCGTTACTGTTGGGTTAATATGACGCTACAGCCAGAAGCTAACTTAGCTTAGCCTGAAGTCTGAAAACACAGGTAGCCGGTTGTGTCTAAAGGGAACTCCACCCGACTACCAACGCCTCTAAAGCTCACTAACTAACCTGTTTGAGTGTAAAAACAAAGTGCAAAATAAAGACGGACTACTCCTTGGCTCTGAGCCGTTGCCAGCCAACCAGAGACTCCAGGAAGTGACTGTGCCCGGACCAGAAATAGTTTGTTTTTACACTTCTTGTACGGACAAAAAAAACAAGACAGAACGTCCTGATGCTCCCTCAAAACAAGTGAAGTTCCATAACCCAACCCAGAAATACAGTGTGCCAAAAGCACATTGACATGGATAGTTTGTTGTGGTCACTTTTACACCAGTAAGATGACGCAGCTTAGATGTAGCGTCTTTATTAACAACATTTCTGCATTATGGAGACCTGAGTCCTCCCACTGTTCCCGGGGATGTCGACTTTGGGAATCTCTAGCTCTGCCGGAAAGGTTGCCATGTTTCGTTTCCCAACGGCGCATTAGGAAAACCTTCACTGTTATTCTAGATTCTATCTCACTATTTTGTTAAAATGTTGGATCCAACCTCAGCTGCACATGCAGACAGCCTCCAGTCCAAAGTGCCACTACCAAATTAAGATAAGTAATGTTTGTGTTGGCAGCACACTCAGACATGACTCTCTTCCCAGGTCCGGTCCAATCCAAACAAAGGAGAGAAGCATTTCCAAAGCAGCACAGGGCAATGACACGTTAAAAGATGGGTCTTTTTTGTAAAAAATTATTCCGATTCATACTATACAGCTCCCTGTGTTCTGAAAGGAATCAACCTTATTAATGTAGGTCTGAGCCAGGCAGATAACCAAACTTAAAGGGAGTTTTTATCTTGAAGACTCTTCCACCCTGTCCTCTACACACACACAGATGATGCACACATGCTTAATTGAATATTTAAAGGCTAAATTAAGACTTCAGTCACACAAACTAAACCTCGTCTGACTGATTATACACACACACCATACAACAATCGGAGAAACAATCCTTCACTCAGCTTGGTGCAAGAAAAAAAACGGAAACAGCTAAACTGACCCCAGAGAATCTGATGAACAGGTGACTTAAAAGTTCTACTTAATATCTAGTAGACAAATGATTGCAGAGAATCCAACTGCAGCTCTCTCTGACAAACCTCAAAATCCTTTACACAGATGAACGTTAACCTATGAGAACATAATCGTGGAGAGCGAAGAGGATAAAGGCAAAAGAACATGACTCGTAGCAGGATAGGTTCTTCTCCAAAGCTGCGGAGCGGAGACTGGAGATGTTAAGTCACATGTTTCACGTATGTCAGGATTTATTTACCAAGTTGCCACCAAGCGTAAAAACACTCCAGCATTTCGACTCCTTTAACAAACGCACTTACCAAGAAGGGATAGACGCAGTAATCAAATAGGGATAAGTGGCGCACACTTACTGTATGTCCTCACAGTCGTTGGCAATTGATTACACATACAATAAGTGACTGAAGTAGTCTTGTGATACCGACAACCACACCCACTAAAGTAACAAATTGTTAAACACGTTTGACCATCCGACAAACTCTTTGCTTGAAGCATGCCGACGCCCGTAGCAGAGACCGCCAGTCGAGTTGTTCATTGAGTCCTTACCAAATAAAACTCTTCTCTCCTGTCAACATGTACACTCTCTCACTAGTGCTAAGTTTAACCCAGTATTATTTATTTCCATTCCTGGAGGGGGGGGGGGGGGGACATGCCTGCACACATGCCAGGCAGCGTCCGACCTACACGGCAGCGCTGACCCACTGAGATTGACCCCAGAGCTGTTCTGTTTATTCTGCAGTTTTATCTTCTGTAAAAACCCACTGAGAATAAAACATTTGCATCCTTCATGTATTTGCATAGTCCAACAGTTTGGATCATCGGGGTGAACACAGCAGCCTTTTATCCGGTTGAAAATTTGCATTGCTGGCCTCTAACCTTAAAAAACAACTCCAAACTTCAACACCTGCGACGTTTTATATCCTATTCCAGTGCTTTAAAGCTTTCTTGGTTTCCGGTCTTTCCAGACAAGCTCATTCCTGCATGTCATGCACCTTCAATCATGAAACTCAATGTGAGATCAAGTAAAACAACATGCGGCATTAACAGGCTACAGGTGGTAATAAACAGAACAGGGCTGATTCGGAACTGATAAAACCTTTATTTCACTTTAAATTGTCTTTTACATTTTGTCCTGTTTATAACATGTAAGGTGAAACTAGAGTTGGATTTTTTTTTTTTTAAAAGACATACACAAATCTAGTATTACGTCAATAACCAGGGTGGGGGGAAGGTGTTGAAGGGTGTTTCTTTTTTTTTGTCATTTTCTCATTTTTATTGGTGTCCTTAAGCTAAAGTCTAAATTTTCACAACCACGTGCGCGCTAAGCAATAAAACCGTCACAGAAGCAAACTTTTTTTTGTTGTTTTTTTGGGTTATTTTTTTTTCCTTTTTATTTTAAGCAGAATACTGGTCAGTAAAAACAAAATGATTTGAGATACCAGATATACAGACAGGCTCGGTGCCACATTCACTACTGCATGGGATCATTTTTTTCCTTATAAAGCGTAGAATAACTGCCTTTTTGTTCAGCTAACGAGAAAAAGAGCGGCAGGGAGGAATAATTACTTTTTTTTTTACCTTTTAAACTTCAGTGCATGAAAACATTTGTCCCCAGCAAAAAAAAAAAAAAAAAAAAAAACATTGAGACATGACTTTTCTACACCTACAGAGTGGAATGTCGAGATGGTTAATGACAAGGTTATTGTGACACTGAGTGGAGAAAAAAATGACTCAACTGTTTCTACTTTTGAAGAAAAAGAGGGTCTTCTGAGACTCAGCGGTCTGCATTCTGGTCGGCCGATATTTCTCAAAGTTTGGGACTAAAGACTAGCTTGGGATTTCGTTTTTTAACGCGTACAGTATTCTTACTCTTGGCGGGGGCGTGGTCATTTAAAGAGAAACCACAAGGAACCTGATTTTATTTATTTTTGCCAGTTTAAATGTACACATTGTAAAACTACCAGATCGGAAAATGAGCTAGAAAATGTACCGTTAACTGCCGAGTGTTTTCTCTCTTCTGAATGCAGTCGGAAAGATGAGCGTTAACCGCGATCCGAAACGACAGGTTCTCGTTTCCACAAACAGATGATTGGCTGATCGGCTGCCGGGAGATTTGGCTCCTTGAACGCACGTTCCTGTTGTGGACTTAAAATCACTGCTTCATTCGTTTCCCCCCCCCCAATTTCTGTATTAATCCATGCTTGGTAGCCCCTTACTTCTGGTTTATATTCGAGTGCACCTTTTCGTCCAACTCATAATGAATCAATTACTAGCCTTCTCTGGAGCTTTTGGAGGTTTAAAGCTCCAGAAAAAGCTAGTAAATAAACCTTTATTTTAGGTCAAGAATGAACTATGATTCTCAACTCAGCTTTAAGGCCGTTAGCTGATACTGTTCCATGCGACCTCAGGTAATCAGGACACAGGAACAATGCCTGGGCTCTCTGCCACAACTGCTCATAATTTGGAAATGAGGAAGCAGGAAGTTTTTAAGTGTCGATCCACACGACTCCCCACTCAATGCTTGCGGTAGATTTACATGGTTAGAGATGACGGCATGCATTCTGATGTTGGCGATCACACCGTTCAGGAGCGAGTGGGCTTTCCTAGACTTGTTGGTACAAGCAGTTAAAGGGGCAGAAGAAGGAT